AACACCGCCCCCACCTGAACTCCTAGCAGAACTTACATGGGATCAGGGGGTCCAGACACATTAACAGTTGCTCACCACAGTTGGCCAGTGCTCTCATGGTGGAGTTTGGATGCTGTGGAAGCACCAGAACTGGGAAGTGTCAACTGCCTGAAAAGAAGGCAAGCACCTAGAACAGTGAACCACATATATGCCAGATAAAGGTCTGGTGGAGGAACCAAAAGAAATTTAGCATGGCTGTAGCCAAAAGGCTTGGACTTTTTCCTAAGAGTAACATGTAATCACTGAAAGATCTTAAGCAGGGAATGGGCACAATCAAATGTATGTCTGTTAAAGATTATTTTGGCCACATGTACAGACTAGATGGGGATGAAGGAGTTCTTAGAAGGAGTCTAAGGTGTTTGTGGTAGGCCAGGAAAGAAAAAATGGAAGCCCACACCAAGGAAATGGAGAAAACGGGACAAGAGACAGGCTCAGGAGGATTCTGTAACTGACTGAATGGGAGGAGAGGCGTTAAATAAGGGAAAGGCAGAGCCGAGGACTACAGACAGATGCTCGGCTTAAGTGACAGTGAGCTGTAATGCCACTTTCTATGACAGGGAACACACCAAGTTTCAGGGGAAGATAGGAATTATACTCTGGACATTTTAAGTTTAGCTACCTATGGGATATCAAAGTAGATATGTCCAATGGATAGATTTATAAATCTGAAGATCAAGAAAGACATCTGGATTGGAAATTTGGAAATCTCACATGAGATTACAGAGGTGTATAGAATAAAAAGAGAAGAGAATCTTGGACAGAACTCTAAGAAACTCCAACAGCAAAGAGACAAAGATACCCCCTAGGAGAGACTGAATGAACAGGCAGAGTAGGAAGAAAACCAGAATAGTGTCATAAAATCCTAGGGACTTGAGCATCACACAAAGGGGGTAGTATAAGCGTCAAAGGCTCCCAAGAGACCAAGCAAGGTAATGACTAAGAAACGTCCATTAGATTCACAGAGAATTATAGGTAACCTTAACAAGACTTTCATTGAGGTTGTGAGCAGAGAAGACCAACCTGCAGCAGGTTGAAGAACGTGCGAAAGGTGAAGAGAAATGAGTACAAACAACTTGTTCAAGAAGTTTGACTGTGAAGGAAAAAAGTGGAATGGGCAGTAATTGTAAAATGGGCTACAGATGAAAGACATATTTTGGGAGATCTTTTTATTTTAAACATGTTCAAGATGTGAAAATGTTTAAATGTTAACGGGAAAGAGCCAGTAGGAAGAAGAGAGAACATAACTAATGAGGTGTCTGAGGAAGTAACAAGGAATGGGATCTGAAACAGAGGCGTAGATAAGCTGTAGAAAGGGAGGAAATCCTCCATTAAAACACAAAAGAAGGGAAGGATGGATGTGGATGAAAGTGAGCTTAATTGTTGGGGAGCCAGAAATTGCAGGCGATTTCTTTCTCTTGCTTTCTTCCTGCCTCCCCTTCTCTAATAACAATCTGCTAAGTGAGTGTGCAATTTTTATTTTTACCAGCAATTTATGAGGGTTCCAATTTCTCCATATCCTCACCAACATTTACTATTATCTCTCTTTGTTATTACAGCCATCCTAGTGGGTGTGGAGTCATAGCTCATACTGGTTTAATCTGCATTTGGGCACATTCTCTTCTAAAGTCACCTATGTTTTCCCTGTGAAGAAATAGAGAAAGCTTCCTATTAAGTAAGAGGGTAGGTAGCAATAGAAAGTGGATTGGAGGAACAACAATAAAAAAAAAGGTAAAGTCTCGAGCAGCCACCAGGGAGAATGAGAAACAGCACTCATTAGGAAAAGCTAAAGAGACGCTGAGATAGCCAGAAGTTGGGAGACCATCATACCCTACCCATCTGACCTTCTGTGAGATTTTTTTTTCTCCAGGAAAGAGTCTGCTGTTGTTTTTTTAAAAACTGATTTAACCAGAATTGGAATGGGAAGCTGCTCAGAGGTTTTTCTCATTTTAAGGCAATGACAGAAGTGCTTCTGAAAAATCCATTACCGTGTGTTTAAAATCCTGTAACATACACATTAGAAATAATAGTTTGCATAAGATTCACTCTCCTTGACTGTTGAGAACAAAGCACAGGTGTTCGCTGCAGCAGATCTTACATTAGTACTGTAAGGACTTAAGCTACAATCATCAGGTGCTAAATTCATCAAAAAACAAACTGCAAGAAACACCACACATCTGTCTTCTCGATAATGGATAATTACTTTAATACATGTCAGATATTCATATCACAAAGTGTTAAGACTAATAATAAATTTTTATGTCCAAAAAAAAACCTGATAATATCATGCATACTAATAATAACCAATTACATAAGAGAAAATGATTTTCGACTTAATCAGTTACCTGATAGAGTAAGAGATATAGCCAGTCTGGTTTAACTAATTCAATAAGTACATCCCTATGTAATTTTTAAAATTAATTTAGAAATTTATCATTAAAGCATGCTGCTGCATACAACAGTTTGTGCTCAGGGATCAAATCTTGGGACTGACTTATATGTAAACCAGATTTAAACACAGGATTTTTTGGCACAAGGTGCTAGTTGTTTCAGTTATCTTTTGCTCAGTAATATAACATCCCGAAAACTCAGTGGTTTTTTATTTCTCTCACTTGTGTTTTACTGGACTCAGCTGGGGTTACTCATGAGGTCACAGGCACTGGGGGTGCTTAACTGGGGTTGAAACAGACCTCTCTCACATACCTGGGCCACTCCAGATGGTCTTTCTCCACCCAGTTTAACCCAAGCCTCTATACATTGGCTTCCAAGAAAGCAAAAGCTAAAGCTGCCACGCCTCTTAAAAACTATACCCAGAACTGGCACAACATCACTTCTGCCACATTTTACTGGTCAAAGCACGTCCAAAGGCCAGCCTAGATTCAAATGGAGCTAAAACAGACTCCATCTCTCAATGGCAGTCAAGAATGGGGATGGAGGAATTGCTGGCAGGCATCTTTGGATACACTCTACCACAGCAGTAAACAATATCACTGGAGGTTTCTGCTATCTTACTTGAGCTCCGGATTGAAGCATCAGAGAAAGGACAGTCTATTTCCAAAACTAGAACTTTTCCGTAAATATTGAAAAGACTATCTCGGCAAAGATTTTGCCCCCATGGAATGCTAATCTCAGAAAAGCCATGGAATCTTCTTTTCTAGAATTGTAGGAAAAACAGACACCGTCCTTCAGAAATGGTCTCAGCATAGTCTTCTCTAGATGGAATTCTTCATCTCCTGAAGTCATTTCACACTTTATAATTTATTATGTATGCATGAGTATAATCTCACTTTTTAAAATGTATCTAACACTAAAAAAAAAAAAAGAAAGAAAGAAAAGAAAAAAAAGAACGGTATCCCCAGCTATTTGAACTCTTGCTATCCAAAGTCATCTAACACTAAAAAAAAAAAAAGAAAGAAAGAAAAAAAAGAACGGTATCCCCAGCTATTTGAACTCTTGCTATCCAAAGTCATCTTAACTCAAGAATTATATAGATTTGGCTAAGTTCTTCAATACTCAAACTTTTGCACTGGCTCTCCAGACACAAGAATGATCTAGATTTGGCTAATCTAGATCAATTTACAGTATCTCCTCCTACAATGTGAAATTTCACTATCTGAACAGAGCAACACAGTATATTTGTATGGTACAAAGGACTTATACCCCCAAAATATTAACTTATTTTGATGGTTATATCACAGGTAATGTGCATTCTTCCTTATGCTGCATATTTTCTAAATTCTTTCAATTCTTACAAAATTTAAAGTAAGTCAATATTGTGGACTTAATATACTTGGAAATTTTTAAAAATTAAGTTCATATTGTCAGTCAAATACATAATTGATTTAAATAATTATTTGATTAACTGACCTCCTCCAGGAGGTTTATTTTGGCTAAATGCAGACAACATTCATCATATGTCTCCTGGGCATTCCTCAACATGTACACAATATGAGACATTTAGATTTTTTAAACAAGATAGTAAATGTGTGTGTGTGTGTGTGTGTGTGTGTGTGTGTGTGTCCTAATGTCCTGCCTAGACTCTAAACTCCTTAAGGGCCCAAAGTTTGTTTCCTATGCATGATTTATTGTTTAGTATAGTAGACACAGAAGGAAGAGCATAATAATAAAGGTCTTTGATTTCCCTTCAGTTCAGTCTTTGCCACTCTTGATTTTCAGATAAAGGACACTGTCTTAGACTTCTCGGCTTGAGCTGCTGATTATTAAGATGGAATCAAGCTCTAGCTAAAATACACAGGCACCTTTTAACTTAAAAAAATTTAAAGAATTTTTCTTACAAGCAGAGGTCTGTTTCAACCCCAGTTGATAGCTTTGTTTTTTATGGCCGTTTTCTGAAGCTCCCAGGACTTGATCATTTGAATCACACACAAAAATCACTGTGGAGGAAATCTTTTTAATGACTAATATCCTTCCTCTTCAAGAGAAACAGACTAAAGGGTAGTCTGTGTAGAAGTATTAATAGACTGGTATTCACGGTATTAATAGACTGGTATTCACGCAATAGATTAAAAGATATCTACCCCACAGATTAACCGCTATGTTAACACAATCTAAATATACAGTTATTCAACTCTGAAAGCAGTTCAAAGAGGTGAAATTCACCCAGTGCACTTCAAACGGATACTTTCTAAAGTTTAAAGCACACTACTAAACTACCATCAAGCAGTTTAATTATTTTTCCATTCCTTTCAGCATTATATACCTTGATGTTTTGATGGTATGATCCCACAATGCACAGCAGTTTCAGAAACGCAGTTTTTACCTCCAATGGCTATAACCCTCCCCCCCAAAAGAATAGGCCCAAGACGAATAAGACAACGAATCTGGGTTTAAGTATTATTATAATATTGCTTTATAAAACTGTAATCCCCAGCTGCAAAGAGTTCTGCAGCAGATGACTTCGGAGTGTCTCACATGCAAATAAATATAAACAAAAAGCCACTTACGAAAGCAGAACAGAGCGTGCCTCGATGGTTATCTTAAATTATATAAAGCAGGTAGTTTATCCGAGGCAGGACAAGAGAAATGTCATTTCAATCAGTTCACCGCACTCCTGGATAAAGGTCCCTACTAAGTGAATAGCCCTTTGTGGAGTCCGTGTTATGGAGGAAAAGAAAACAGTGAAAAATATCCTCTCCTCCAGAGGCGAAGATGATATGCTTTGATCTTGGAAAGGGCCAAATGAAAATGGGGAGGGTCGGGAGAAGGGGAGTCTCCCAGCAAAACAATGCCGAGAGCTGCGACAGACTTCAGCTAGGAGCGAGACCCTGCAGCTCAAGAAAGAGGGAGCAGGGAAAACTTTCCCCAGCCTCTCCCCACCCTTTTCCTTCTCCTGGGAGGAAGAAACGATAGCTGAGGTGCTAACGGTGCGGAGCCGGAGACCGGAACCCGCAGCGGAAGGGAAGGAGGGAGGGAGCAGCAGCAACGGGGCACGCCGGCCCGCGGGAAGAGGGAACAGAGAGGGGCAGGGGTGGAAGCGGCCTCTGCGGGCTGGGTCCTGCGCCCCACCGGCTACCTGGGAGGCCAGGCGCTGCTGCTCGCCGTCCGCCGGGGCCAGCTGCGGAGAGCGCCGCGGGGATCTTGGAAGCTCCGCGGGCCAGAGGATCACCAGTAAGCTGCGCGGCTGACGGTCCGCCTAGGGGAGACGCGGGAGGCGGGGCTCCAGGAGCGGGCCCGACGGGTCACGTGCCCCGGCCGCCTCACGTGACGCCGTCGCGGGCCGCTGCAGGCCAGCTCTCCGACGAAAACGCCCACCTGGTTGGCGATGCTCTTTGGCCCTGGGCCCGCGGCTTCTGTGGGAGCAGGCTGGCGGGCCGAGTGCAGCCAGCAGGCTCTGCGGAGAGTCGCATTGGAGTTTGGGGGCTGCCGAAGCTTTTGTTTGTCAGGAAACCAGGAACGCGCGAGGGGCGGGCTCCTGCCGTCCTCCCGGGATTCCTTAGCTGTGGGGGAAAAGGGGGTTGTCCAGCCCCGCCAGGGGACCTAGGACGGAAAAGCGACTGGGAACTCCTCGCGCCCCATAGCGCTCTACCCACGTGGTGCTGCCTGGGACAAAGGGCCTCAGAGGAGAAGAGATTCGCTTTACTCCAGAGATGTACCTCCTTTTACCTACTTAACCTACTAGTCAGTCGAAAAGCACCTGAGTAAAGATGGAGGTTAGGAAAGGTGGCAGCTGCACCAAGAAAGGAGGGTATGAAGCACATGGCCCAGGTAATGGAAGGAAGTCAGAGGTACCTGGGAAGTTGGCTGTCAACGTTGGGAGGGGGAGAGACCTAAGATGGCAAATGACCCAAGCCTTTTCTTATTAAAAATGAGTAAACTGAGGCTTGAGATGCTTCATGCAATTCCAGCTAATCGTCTACTGAGACCAATTCACCTTCATTAAAGTACTGTACAGCTTTCTGAAAATTCTCATTTGGCTCCACAGGGTAAAGTCCAAACTTCTTGGCATAACTTTCCAAGCAGTCTTGTTCAAACTTACTTTTCCCATTTGAGCTCCCATGAATAAACAGAAAAACACTTTATTTTCGAAGTATCACCATATAGCTCCTCTGATCTATTAAAAGAAGCCTACTTTTCCTCATCTTCTGGCACTTCTTCAGCACTACCCTAGGCTCTGGCTACAGAGAATTCCTGTTTTCCTCAACTACTTAACTTTTCTTTGGATTACTACTTAACTTTCCTTCAGTTACTTTACTCCTCTTTGCGTTTGTTCATTCTTTTGTCTCTGTCTGAAATGCCCTGAATTACTACCTTCTCCTTTAAGGAAAACCAGAGCCAAAAATTAGTTAAAACTGTAAAAACAGATTTTGTTCAGAATTTATTGCAATAGGAGAATTGAGTCCAGTTCTATACTGGGGTCTTTTTTCCCCTATTGCAATAATTTCTGAACAAAATCTGTTTTTACAGCTTTATCTACTGTCAGGCTTTAGTTATCTTTAACATCACCCCAAAGTACACATCAGTCTCCCACTCACCTTTTGAAAATCCAGGTCAAATATCACCTACTCTTGTCTTTTTTCCCTGCATCCTCTTCGGTGATTGAACAGCATCAGCAATTGAAGTTCACTCAGACACTGTCAACTGTAACTTCTCCCCTGATTTCCAGGACACTGTACATAGTCTGATACATAAATTTTACATTGCCCAAAAATGTACTGTGCATTTCCTGTTAAAGGTAAATTACTTATCTCTGTCTTCTTCCCTAGATTATAAATTCTTTGAAACAGGACTTCTGGGCTTTGCACAGTGCCCTCGATAACCGCTGAATGAAGTGGCTTGACCAAGGTCATGGCAGTTCAGTGAATTTACTAAGAGAGGCCTACTTTGCTCAAAGAAACTGAAGACGGTTTCTTTAGTCTACAACCTGATCAAAAGAACTTCTGTAAAACATATTTGAGAAAAAAATGGGAGTTTGGGGTTGGAGTTATCAAATATTTGATAGAGGACAAATAGTAGCTAGATTAGGGAGGGAGGGAAAGACCCTCTAGAAAAGAGAGCAGTACGTTCAAGAGTAGAGAGGCACAAATCAGTGTTATTTATTTAGGAAAAGCCGTATGGCTGGACTTAACGACTTCACTTACCTCTGGGACAAAGGAAATCTAATTAGGTTAATGCTGATGTACTTGAAAGAATGAAATATCTATTACTATATTATTTATTGGCTCGAGTCACCTTCCATCAGACAAATCGTAGGCTTTTCACTTAAAATTGGCTAGGTAATTTTTTAGCTTTTTTTTTTTCAGCTCCAAAAGCTCTCTATAATTGTTAACTAAAAATAGCAAAATTACTTGTTCCAAAAAAATTATTTGTGAGCACTCTAAACTTTTTGATAGGGCAAATAACTGAATTTATAAGTAGTACTTTAAGGAAGAAATTGGGCTCTACCTCCAAGGGTTGGGAGGACAACTCCTCTAAATATTCATGCTAATGGATGACTATGCTGGTAAAAAGTATCTGCCAAGAATCTAATGAAATACAGTTAATGTAAGGTTTAAGTTGGAATGAGACATAGGAGAATAATTCTGTTAATTACAGGTTTAAAGGTCTTGATTCCCAAAGGGAGAACATTTCTACCCAGAAGCACAGAAAGAGTCTTCAACTGAACTTTAAGCTGTACAACCAGGCACTTTGGGCCCCTCATGCCAACACCAGCGGGCAAGAAAAAGATCCTGGTGGGGCTAATTGACTCCTTATCATCAAGAGGAAGTAGAGCTACTGTTATACAGTAGAGGCTGAGAAACATATGTTTGGCAACCAGATAATCAACTTGGACATCTTAGTACTGTCTTGTGCAATTTTGATGACAAATGGCCACGTGCAGCAGGTGAAGCCTGAGATTTTTGACAGTCTGAGCCACTTCACTAGGTAAGTCACCTAAACTTTCAGAGGAGCTAATTGATAGGGAGGAGAATCTAGAATGGACAGCAGAGGAAGAAGAGGATAAATATAAGTTGCAGTTCCAAGACTAGCAGCAGCAAGGAGGTCGTAGTTCATCTTACTAACTTTCCTTTTATAAATTTCCCCCAGGAAAAGAGGCCCACCAGCATCCTGGAGGAGCTACTCCCAGGACTCATGAAGAAAGTGGATCTGCGTGGCACAAGGCATGGACCATCCTGGAATGCCATACTGCCCTGCCTAGACCATAGCCATCAGCCCTCTTAGGAATTGCTTCAGCAAAAGAGAGCTGTTTTGTTCAAAGTCAGGCTCCCTTCTGGACAGCCAACATCCACTAACTGATGCTCAATCCTCTTTCCTTTTATTCAACAGGTGTTGATTAGAGTACTCTCTAATAAAATTCCTATGTGCTGATCTCTGTCTACCTCCCAGGAAATCTAATCTTTGACAGTCTCTTTAAGTTAGATGACAGTTTGGAGGAGGAGACACCAAACAAGTAAAATAAATTTGTGATTTGTACTTTGAAGGAAGTGAACAAGATTCAGTGATAGCAAATAACCAGGAAGGTGTACTTGGAGAGGAGGCGACATCTAAGCCAAAAATTTTACAATAGGTAGAAGTAACCCATGTGAAGAGCAGGTAGGAGAGTATGTTTTGGAAAGAGAAACATCTTAGATAAAAGCTCTCCCCACAGAGCTTAGCAAGTGGAGGTACCACCCAGAGCTTTGCAGCCTTTTCACAATTTTATTTCAAATGTAATGGGAGATCATTATGGGATTTTAGTTTTTATTTATTTGTTTGTTTATTTTTTAGGTGAGGCAACTCTTGGTTGATCTCACAGATTGCAAGGACCTTATTAGTTTACAATCCCCTGTTTTTTCATTTTTTACGCCTACAGCACCTGGTCTTCCTAGGTGGTCTCCCATCCAAGTACTAATCAGGCCTGACCCTGCTTAGCTTCTGAGATCAGACAGGATCGGGCTTGTTCAGGGTAGCATGGCTGTAGACTCATTATGGGTTTTCAAGCAAGAGAGTAGAATGCTATGATTTGCACTTAAAAATTTTTTTCTTTGATGCAGTATAAAGAACATACTTGAGGTTAAATCAGCATCAAGAAACATGATCCCTCAAAACATTATTCCCTACCTGCAAACCATATTCCAGGTGCCCAAGACCCTGGAATCCTCAGCCTTCCAAGATCCACATTGGCCTCTTCCCTACATCCAACACCTCAAGGATAGACTGCACACCTTAGAGCCACGGGGTAGCCAGGGAGTGTCTGTTAGTGGGGCTTGAAAGTAGAAATCCACAGTATATGCGTGTGAAGCCCCTTCCAGTGTGGATGAAGCCAGAACTGCAAAAAGGGAGATGAACTGTGGGACAGGGACCCAGGGAGTAATCGCTCCCTACCCTGCCAAGTTCCACTATAGAACCCCAAGGATTCCAAGAATCCTAAATTCAAGGCTTGGCCATTCAAGTCATTGAAAAGCTATATTTAAGCAATATTTGTTAAGGTAGGAGGTTAGAACATATTGTTTAATTAGTTGTTGGCTTGATTTTTAACTTACAAATTTTTAGACATATGGTATATAAACTTCCATTTGTAATTTTGCCCCAGGTTTTACAAATGTTAAGGATGGTCCTGAAAATCACATTACCTACCAGGAAACAATATATAGACTAAGCTGGCTTTTTATGACAAACAGTAGATGTCAGAGGACAATAGAATAATATCTCCAAAATGATAGTAGGAAGTATCTGTTAATCTAGAATTCTCTATCCAGTTTATAAACTAGCATTTAAAGGTGAAGATAAAATAAGGACATTTTTAAACCAAGACTGAGAAAATTTCCTTCTCACAGACCTTGCAGAAAGAAGGAATATAAATCCAGCAGGAAAGATTAGAATGCAGGAATCAATGATGAGCAAAGAAGTTAATAAATATGCTGGTAAATCTAAGTAAACATTGACTATAAATATTACTAATTTTTAGAGGATAAACAGGGTGAAACTAGAATATTGCATAGCTATCAAATTGAAGAAGAAAGGCAAGATTCAAGTTAAAATTTCCTAAGGTCCTTATTCTGTTGACTATATAATGTTAAAATTTTTCAACTATAACTTTTAATGTTTTTAAGGAAAACATCTTAAGCAAATATGCAAAAAAGAGTGAAAGTGAATAGTTAGGATGAAGGATAAAAAACAAAGTGAAAAAGCAAAATAAGTTTAACTGGTCATACATATAAAATTGTTCTAGTTTCAGTAAGGGAAATCAGGTACTAATTTATTTTTTGTACTAAACCACTGGTCATAAAATACCACCTCTGCCACTATTGTTCCCCAACTGCAAATTGTTACTGATTTATGAAGAAAACTTTATAAAAGCTGATGTTCTTTATTCTTATAAAACTCCAGGAGAGAGAGAGAGAGATTAAAATTTTAGGAGAAATTTCATATACCTGAAGCTTTCAAACCAATGAATCAATTATCAATACGAACTCTATTCTCTATGGGAAATACAAAAAAAAAATTACAGTCCCTATCATCAGATGATTTACAATCTGATTAGGGAGAAGCAAGCTATATCTACCCACTGAGAATAAACTCTAGGATAGAAGCAACAAATAGTAAGAGCCTTAGCTTACACAAATATTACAGTTCGATGCAGATGGGATCCTTTCCAACCAGGATGTCTTAAAGGAGTTGGACTGAACACATGAAATTTGATCTGAGCTTTAAGAGAGGTAGAATATCACTAGAGAAAACTGGAAATAAGCATGAACAAAAGCATTAAAATATCCAAAGGTGTTGGAGCCAAGAAAGAAGACGTTTTTAAGAAGGATAAGCTTTGTGTGAAATACTGAATCACTGAATGAATCATAACACAGACTGAAGTGTTCACAAGGAAGAAATCATTTTAAATATTATTATAAAGATGGCACCAACTTGAATTTTTATTTGATTTTCCTTCTTTTATATTCTGTTAAAATTTTCAAAAAAGTGTAGCAAATATAAATACAAAATATTGAGTTTCTACAAGTTACATACATGAATTGCTCAAATTTTTACTACTTCCACACACTTTATTTCCTAGACTTTCTCTAGCTTTAAAAAAAAAAAAAGGCCAAATTTTGTATCTGCAGATAGGATCTCCAAAATATTGCTTGTGTTTTAAGTTCAAAGTCTTAAGCTCTTGGTTTGTATTATTGAGTCATGATATTAATAACATCTAACATTTATTAAGCCCGTATAGTGTCAGTAATTGTGTTAAATGCTTTATAAGCCATTTCAGTTAATGCTAGCTTCCATGATAGCCAAACGTCAGACTCTCAGTGGCTAAACAAAATAGTTTATTTCAAACTCATATAAAGGCCAAAATGAGTGTTTCTAATAGACATAAAGCTGTCTTCCAAGCCGTGATTTGAGGACTACAGTTCCTTCCATTTTACAGTTCTGTCATCTTTAACAAGTGGCTTCTAGGGGAAACCTGCAGAAGGGGAAATAAAAAGGAAAATTACAACAAGAGATTTTTGTGAGCTGAGTCTAGAAGGAGCACATATCTCTTCCTCTCATATTCCATTGGCCAGAATTCAGTCATATGGTCTCAACTAACTGCAAATGAAGATGGAAAATGTGGTTTAGCTGTTTGCCCAGGAAGAAAAAGAAATGGTTTGGTGAACACTCATTTAATTGTAACAACTCCGTAAGATATGTACTATAATTTATATTACTTTGCAGATGAGGAAACTGAAATTTTGATAGGATAAGTCCCTTACCTAATCTCTTGCAGTTAATAAATGGCAGAACTTAAACTCGAACCTAGGTAACCTAACTCAATTCTTTATCAAGTTACCCGCAATGTGACTGAAATTCTTGTTATTGGAGAAGATTATTTAGGCTTTCTTTTAGTTGTAAGAGAGATGTGATGATCTTAGAAATGTAAATAATCTAAACTCATCATTTCAGTGATGAAGAAATTGAAATCTAGGGTTAGAATATCCTATTGAAGGTCAAATTCCTTCTTCTCAGGTACCATACAATGTAAGGAGCATTTTTATAAGGAAATATAATCTTGATAAACTAATAACGTTTATCATCTTTTCTAAAAGTTAACTCCCTAAAATATATGGTTTGATGTAGTTAAACCCAAACATTAAGATTCGTTTCTTTAAAAAGTTTGTTCCCTCCTCGCGTTTTTTTTTTTTTTTTTTTTTTTTGCCCTAAGAAGAAAGCACAACACAGAGTAAGCCTGCCACCGTGTGGCATGGGCCAGAACTGATGTTTTATTCCCATTTATTTTGTTTGCCTCTTGTTTGTTTACTAACCAGCCTAGATTTGATAATTTGATTTACCAGCTATGGTATATTCTGTAGGCTTGAGTACTTTTTAATTTTTTTAAAACATTTTTTTATAAGAGTTTATTTGAGCCAAACTGATGACATATGCCAGGGAGCAAGATCTTAACTGCTCTGGAAAATAATAGTTTTGCAGCTTCTTTTATACATTTGAAACTAAGGAGGGGGTGTGAGCTTACATGGAGGTGGGAGTACTCAAGGTGAGGATTGGTTTACAGGATAGTTAACAAGATTATGTGTTTTCTTGAGGGTGGTTGAGGCTTGTTTCTACGGTGTGCTAACCTAGGTGCACAGAAACAATGGACAGGGCTTGGCTTGCCTAAGGCAAAGATAAGCCTTTCAGTAAAGAAGTTATGTAACTGGGGCAGGACTACCCACCATGACCTACCCAGTTAGAAATTTCTGATCAGATCACCCTGTGAGGCTACTTTTCATAGAACCACCCCCTTCCCTCTTTTTATGTCCACAGTTCCCCCTTTTGCTCATAAGTCAAACCGAAGGATGTATTGATGATCAGCCTTTTGGTCAGATAGTATGGTCTCATGGCGCTAGAAAGGCTCATTCATAGAAAATCTCAGTATCCACGTCTTCTTGTTGACCTTTGGGGGTGGGGCAATACAGTAACCATGGGATCTGAGTTGAGGCCAAATTTCCCCAAAAAGGGAAGGGCAGGTAAATGGAAGGCAGTCTGGTCTTATGGCCTTCACTGAAAACAAACAAACAAACAAACAAACAAACAAACGAACGAATGAACGAACGAACAAAAAAAAAACCGCTGGATCATTCCTGTCCTGTGAACTATCATGACCCAAGTTTTGCTTTCTGTCTCATTTTTCTGTATTTGGCATCCAGTATAACATTTATATAATCCACAAAAAGGGTATTAAAATTTATCTTATACATCTTCTTTAGCTTGGCAATAGTGTAAAATGTCTCCTTTCAATAATGTCACTCATTTAAGTCCAGCTTAAATGGACTGTGATGCATAAAGAAATGCAAAAACCAAAAAAAGGGGAACCAGGAAGCAGGGGAGAGTGAAGCAGCCATTTTGGGTTTCCC